GCGAGCGCGAAGGGCCGCGGTCAAGAGTAAAGTGTCCTTTAGATTCTTGTGCTGGCGAAACTGAAGCTTGTGCTGATTTGTGCTAGCCTAGAGCAACTCAGATATATAATTATATATCGTTTGATTGATTTATACGAGTATAAATCTTCTTTTCTGCCTAAAATCGTTTTTTTCGTTTTATTCCTTTCATGATTATTTTTCGAAGATAATACTTTAGCACAATGTTAGCACAACTTAGCACAACCTAGCACAATAAAAAAAATTTCGAAAATCAAAAAGTGGGGGGTTACCAAAAAAACGGTTTTTTCCATTTTTCTCGCTCATTTTTCGTATTAAAAATTTATAATTCGAGCACAATGTAGCACAAACCTAGCACAAATCAGCACAACTGTCAAAATTAATAAATTCGAAAAGTGGGGGGCTAACTTCATACAGGCTTCGTTGTCGCTCTGGCTCGCGCCCTCGCTTGCACACTCGTCAGCCATTAAGGAAAATCCGCACGAGTCGCTATCGGCCTTGGCGGTTCGCGGATCGTTAGCGGTATACGGTCCTTTTTTCTTATTAACTACTATTTTTAACATCTTATTACTCCTACTTTACAAAATTTTCTATACGCGATCGATGCATTTTTATAAATAATTCTCATATTTAATATATCAAGGAACTATGTGCTACATAGAGACAATATTCTTTAAATTTAATCTTTCAACTTGTTTTTAATTTTCTATGCTGTTTAGAACTTCTTTGGTATGATATGATAAGCAGAAGGAACAAACGATCATCCTATGGCTACAACCTTTTTGTATAACCAGTTGTATAAAATCTTATCCGTATACAGTATCCTACGACCTGCATATGGAAATTGTTTAATCTCAAATCAAGATAAACTTCGTACTTCTTTTATTTCTCTATCAAACATTAAGACTATTTATACTAATCTGAGTAAAAAAAGTTAGAATTCAGGAATCGATAAAAAATCGGTTAAATTTATTAATTGAAAATAAAGATTGGGATTTTAACGAATTGAACACGATTACGCTTTATCAGAAGTTATCGATTGTTTAATTTACTACAGCACTGGTATTGTTACAAAAAGAATTCTGAAATTATGAAAATGCGAAATGTGTAAGAACGCGTTTAAGAATCACGCAGATGAGATTAAATGTGTTTCGTTACTTTTAAAAATGAAAGGTGACAGCCAGTTACCCAGACCTCATAAAAAATTATATACTTTTTTAAGACAAGTGAAACATTTGTTCCAACAACATTACATGTCAAATAATGTATCAAGGCTGATAATTACATTTTACAAACTCCTAACGTTTCCATGCGTCGAGCACGCAGGAAATTATTTCATTTATTATTTTTTTTATGTACAAATCCGTATGTAGCAATATGCCAAACAATGCAACAGAGATAAAATAAAAGTTGGAAAAGGAAGTTATTTAAATTCTGTTGTACATGACTTATTATACGTAAAAATAAATAAATATAAATAAAATTAAATAAATAATCTAATAAATACATAAATAATAAATAAATAAATAAATAAACACATACAGAACATCCTACATCATATATTATATATAAACATATACATCTAGTTATCGGGGAGTTGATTACATATCTTTCCACAAAGGGAGAATTATAAAAATAAGCGAATTTATTAAAACATTATATAAAATGTAATTTTTCTTTGTTCAAAGAAGACATTCATATTAATACATAAAAATGAACTGAAATGAGCTTTAAATTCGTCCGCTTTTAATACTGCTACTATTTCCTTCATAAACTAGGTTTCCTACATAAAATAGTTTTCAATTCCTGGTATATATTTTCGTATATGTATATTTCTTTGTATTATTTTTAAATCTTTGTTATCACTTTCAGAAGACAAATCTATTATTTCATGTATGTACAATACCAGCTACTGCAATTATTAACAATCTTCTTCGATCTTGCTCCATTTAAAATTTTGGGTAGGTTAGGAGTCGGTTAGGTTTGGAGTCAGTTGTTATAAATAGCAGAAACACGGTTAACGCTACGCTATTGCTGTTCGCGAAGTTCGCTATCACTATCGCGCTATTAGTTTTGCGAACGCATTTGATAGCGTCAGCTTTGATAGTGTGGATAGCGTCTCCCCGAACGCACCCAAAGAAACCTATTATCGACATATGACGTGCAGCGCCCTCACACGGCAAAATACTAAACTCAATGGCGTGAAAAAATAACATGTAGACTGCTGTTAACAGCCAAATTTTTTCTTGCGAAATGTGCTTATATTATTTGCTCTAGTGGACTTGTATGACACTAGACTTATTGTACGACTTATTGTACTGTAAAATATTCCGAGATCTCGGTTTTTTATGAAATACAATACACGGATATATAATTTACACTTGTTTGATCAGTTTAGACCACATGTTTTCTCACGTGAGCATACCTCATTTCATGACTTATTTTATGACTTTGTATGGATTGCCCAAGGAAAAGGTGAGAACTCGGAACTTTTTACAAGTATGTTGAAGTGATTTCGAGTGATGTTTGTCAAGAATATTTTTTTTATTTAGATATGGCATGCAAGAATTCTTTACGTGCTGTTTCTCGCTTCTAACATCATAAAACCAATATGGCCGTGGCGAGGAGCCAGGAGTCTTAAAGAGTATATACAATATCTATGCGAATACACTGTGTAACACTTTGAAGAAGTGTTACAATTTCTTGAATCTAAAAGTGGACACATGCTGTAAAAATATGTATTTATCCCTTAAAATTATATTTTAAGCAAAAGCTGTTTAGAAATAAAGTTTATAAGTTTATGTTCGGTCGCAGATTCGAAATGAGAATTGTTGAAATCCTATGCGGATTAATTGTTTTCCTACTGTATTACTATCTTACTGCGATCTTCAATTTTTGGAGAAAACGCAATATTCCTGAGCCTTCACCTAAGCTGTTCTTTGGTGAAGGACCAAAAAAAGGACTTTCTTACGCTGAAGGACGTTATATTTGGTAAAACACTACTTGGGGAATATTTGAAGAGTATATACGATACCTATGAGAATACACCGTTCGTGGGAATATTTAATATGAGAGAACCGATTTTGATGATAAATGATCCTGAATTTATAAAGAATGTTCTTATTAAAGATTCTGCGTTATTTTCTAACCGAGGTATCCTCGGTTTTATACAAGTATGTGCCAGTTGTAATAAGCATCATCACGTTTCTTTATTATGTAATTTAAATGAATTGATTTTCACAGGCGGAGCCATTAAATCAATTTCTTTTTTTTATGGATGGAACAATGGCACATGTCTTTAGAACAAAAATATCGTCAGTTTTTACACCCAGCAAATTTAAGGAGATATATCATACGATGTTAACATCTTTGGAGCGCTTGGGCAATTATCTCGAAGAATCGTTACCAAAAAACAATTACGTGATAAATTGTGGCGACTTGGCAGCTAGATTAACTACTGATATAACCGGCAATAACCTTATGGGTATTGATATGACAACTTTAACGAGAGGAACAAATGAAGTGAATGAATTTTTAAAATATTCTAATATAGTTCGTGGTACATACTGGAATATTATAATAAAAACAATAATGAAGAAAACGTGTCCGCGATTGTATGGTCGAATTGGTTACTACTTATTCGATAATGCTAAGACGATAGTTTTATGTCAACTTTATACTCGACATTATGAAATATAGGAAAAAATATGCTATCGTTAGATCTGACTCAATAAATGTACTGATGGAATTAAAAGAAAATTCTGGAAAATTGCCTGAGTTAATTGGTAAAATTTTTATTATACTTTAATTAAATTGATATATATCTATACATATTTTCAATATATTAAAATATAAAGATTTTACAAGATAATATTAAAAATATTAAATCTCAATTAAATTAAATTTTATGTTATATCATAAAGCAATATATAAATGCAATTCTGTAAAATTTTATAAAGATTTTATAATTATTGTTTTTTAATAATCTTATATGTAATAACATAATTAAAAACTTTAGAGTTTTATAGATGTAAATGCACAGAAAGATATGAAGAAATATTTTATGTTTAGCTTCAAAAGTGCACAGAATAAACAAAATTTTGTATATATGATTTAAAGAGAGATAGAATGTGTAATAAACTCGAGAAAACGTTTACATAATATCTATTTAGACACAGACATAACGAATGAGTTTCTGGGCGCACAAGCGTTTGAGTTTTTCTATGCCAGCTATGAGATAGCTGCATCAACGATACGTAATGCATTATACGAATTGGCTTTTGATCAAGATATTCAAAAGAAGTTACGAAAAGAGATACAAAACATGTATATGAAAAACAACGGTGAATTGCAATATGAGAATATAAACTCAATGCTTTATTTAAATGCAGTTTTTAAAGGTAAATATATTAATGCTTAAATTTATATAATGTACTTCTACTTTACTTATTTACTTGCGTCACAATCACAATTTTCAGAATCACTTAATAATTCCATTTTTATAATAATTATTCCCTTTTATTATTTTTATTCTAAAAAAATGTAACATTAAGTATGTTTAAATGAGTTGATAAAACAACGCTATCAAAGCGCGATTACTGATAAGTAAATTGATTTGATGCTACTTTGTAAAAATTGTATTATTTTTAGAGACATTGCGCAAAAAAACAACCAGCAGATTCATTACAACGAGAAGTATTATCAAACTATACTTTCAAAAATACTAATGTAACCGTGCCAAAAAAACAAAAAGTTATTATACCTCTCTACACATTACATCACGATCCAAAAATATATCCTAATCCAGAGATCTTTGATCCAGAAAGATTCATTGACGAAACTTTACAACCCAGAAACCCAATGCATTATTTTCTATTTGGATATGGACCAAGAAATTGCATCGTAAGTGAATATAATATTTAATTAATTGAGAAACATAAAATATTATACAAGATATATGAACAGATAATATAAAATAAGATATATACAGATAAAATAATTATATGTTTTTATCACAATGTAATATGAACTGATTAAGTTAAAAAAATTTTAAAGTAATGTTCAAATTGATAATATTACATTTTGCAGGTGAACGTATAGGCATTCTTCAAACCAAACTTTGACTTATTGGTATTTTGCGAAATTACAGACTTGATGTTTGCGAAAAGACAGTAACTTCATTTGGATATATTACTCAGACATTTGTCTTAGTGCCGAATAAAGATATATTTATTAAAATGACAAAAGTAAACTAATTGTTTTATAATGATGTGTATATATATGCGCGCACACGCATATTTATTGTTTTTGTAACACTTGTAAAATGAGTATATACAGAGAATAAAGATTTTTAAAAATACATTTTAAATTGGTAAATTATGTAATAGTAGATATTATATGTAATCATGTATGAATAAATACTACATACTTGGGTGTGTGTGTGTGTGTGTGTGTGTGTGTGTGCGTGTCGAAAGCGACGATTTCATCTGTTTATTCTCGTATTCAATATTACAAAATATTCTTTGTAATTTTCTATGAATTACAAAATATATAATTATTGCATAATTATATAATCATCCTGTCTGGAATTTTCCGTAGTATCTAATTTGAACATATTAAGGCCTCTCAATTGTGGTGACATCGGAACATAGTTAGAGTTGTTTACAAGAGTAGTTTCTTGCACACATATTTCAGTACTTTGCAGACTTTCCTCAAAATCATATACTTCTGCATAAAAACATTTTCTCGTATTTACTCTGTTAAAAAAAGAAAGAATAAATGTTTACCTTTATACAGCAAGCTCCAAATGATTTCTGTATAACCTTGATGTTGACCTTGATCCTCAAGGAGGTCAATACTATTGACCTTTATCGGCGCTCATTGTTTGTTAAAAAGTTATTGACCAAAAAAATTTTATAAGTTGAATGTAATTTTTGGACACTGTATATACAAAGCATGAAATTTATAGGCTAGGAAGGTGCCAGCCGTACGTACGTACGTACACACACATACACACACACATTGCTCGCCTGTACAGCGCGTTCGCCCGTCGCCCCGGGCGCCCGGCCGCCGAGCGGTGCGTGTGTTCCTATTATATTTTAAGTTTTATAAATACAGTAGGATCTCGAATTTAAGAAAGTCTCCTTTTTAATAACCCCTTTTTAGATAATATCCTGTACCACGTGATCAAAGTCGCTTGCGCAGCCATTCGCGTCAGGTTCGTACACTGTTACGTTTCAGTTAGTGCGAGAGTTAATGAAATTAAACTTCCTTATATGATGAAGAAGTTTGAAATTGGATCTAATTTTGTGAGTATTATATATATATGATACGTATATTACAAATTATGTTTATGAGGTTTTGTTTTGTAACACGATTATAATGTGGTACGACCGGCGTAGCAAGTTATCATAATCTCACAGAGTAGAGAGTTGGCGACATGAACACCAAATTATTCGTCATTTTCTTTTTGTTTTTTATAAATATAAAGAGCAAAAACGATAGAATCCGTAGTAATAATATAACGACATAGTAGTAACGACATGTTGACATGTTCCTTTAATGCACCCTTAACGTATACGGGATATGTATGCTACGGCCCTGCTTTGGGCGGCGCTAACACGACCTCCATTTTAAGAATTTTGCTCCCGAGGCATTCTTAAATTGGAAGTACCTATTGTACACGCACCGGCGTTAATGCCGTCCGAATATCCGTGTGACTCGCACACGATAACGCGTCACTCATACACTGCTGCGTGTAGGTGAGCTAAGAGCAGCACGGAGTGGCGGAGGGAGCTAGCGGTATACGATCGTCGGACGCTTGGAGAGGGAATAGTGGTGGGAGTCGCGGCGATCTTCCATCCTCTATCGCAAACGTAAGAACGAGAGAAATAGCATTATA